GTTGCGTTTCCCGACGATGTTGAAATACGTGTCGACGGGCATGATGACTGAAGAGGAGCTTGGTACTGAGGAAACGGTTCTCCCTAATCAAGTTCTCCGTGGTCGGGTTCTCCCTGGCCGTGTTCTCCCTTGTCGGGTTCTCCCTTGCCGGGTTCTCCCTGGTCGGGTTCTCCCTAATCGGGTTCTCCCTGGTCGGGTTCTCCCTGACCGTGTTCTCCCTGGATCACTCCGTATTTTGGTCGACGCCGCGACTTAGAGCAAATCCAACTCTGTGCAAAATAAGCCGCTCCTGTTGCCATCGACTAGCACTCCCAAAACACTTCCATCGACCACCTCGTTTGCTTGCTCTCTTCTTAACAAATCTACCCCAATTATTCCACCACTGTACGAACCGGCACGTGAACGACGTGTGGTTGTCTGCCGGCATGAACTTCTCGGTCCTCCCACCAGCTCACACACTCACCAACTCGCACACTCACCAGCTCGCACACTGCGTACAAAGGCTCGTGCACTGGCACGAGATGGCCGGTCTCCGAATGAATTTGGAGTGCTCGTATTTTTTGGAGTGAATTCATCGTGCAATTATATCCCTGTAGTGTGGCGCAGGTCGTGACGAGGGTTGCAGGTTGGGTGGCTTGTGGAAGTCGCATTTGAGTGAGCGAAAAGTTGGTGCCATCGCCTAGAATGATGCTTACGGATAACGACCCATGTTTACGACTGATGCTTACGACCCGAATACATCACGGACGACGTGGTGGATCAGTTGAGACATGAACTCGTTGATTACGCTGGCACCGACGTTTGGTGCCGTGGCCAATGGTGCGAAATGGAACCATGGGTCCTGGCACCAAACATCGTTGCCAGCACAACCAGCACCCATCAACTGATTAGGTATGTTGCGGTCGCGGGTTCGATTCCCAGTTCGGGGTTCACAGATCAATGAATTGTTTTTTTAACGACTCGCTCGCTCAGTCTTCATGAAGGTTCTTCTCGGATCGGGTGCGGGTGGTAGGCAAATGCAGTGACGGGCGGCCGTTTGACGTTGGCCGTTTGGAGTGTCTTGAAGTCGGATGTAGAAGGGCTCGGTGCGTCGCATAAGGCAACCCCCTGTCGCAAATAAATTGTCATCAATTAGTTTGTTTACAGATCGTCTTAACAGAATGTCAGGAAACGGAAACGGAAACGGAAACGGCGGAACACCTCATATGACCCCGAAGACCCTGATTGGGGATTCCCCGATTGGCATGCCGACCCAGCATGCTACGAGAGATGTACCTCACCCGACCGGAGCGATGCCTAAAATGACAAGAGAGATGCCCAAGATGACAAGAGACATGCCCCACGGGGCACCGCCCCCTGCTGGCCAGCATGACATGTGAAGTTATCCGGCGGCAAATACCGCCAAAGTTGGAGAGCGGGATCTTTCTTTTTCTTATAAATAAGTGTGACTTATGGGCGCCGATAAGGCTCAGCTATTATATAGATTTTCAGTTATGACGTACGGTCCATCTTGGGGGTTCTCCCTGGTCGTGTTCTCCCTCGGGTTCTCCCTGGCCGGGTTCTCCCTGGATCACTCCGTATTTTGGCCGACAGTTTACTGCGTTTGTGTCGCATAGGGGCACATTCGAATACACTGTGATTCCGTAAGATTCTTCGTAGAGAGGTGGCAGGATTACTTTTGCGCTGCGCCGTTTACCATCAGGACTGATCACCAGAACCTGTTGTATTTGGCTAACTCTACCAAAGGAAAGCTAGCAAGGTGGTCGTTGTTCTCTGCTACTGTTGACGCTCTCGTGTCAGTTGTTACTGACACGAGAGCGTCAACAGTAGCGGAGTTGTTTAGAGACTGTTGGTATAGGTACTTCGGAGCACCGCTGGCTGTGTTGGTTGACGGGGGCACTGAATTCAAAGGAGAGTTCTTTGACCTGGTTCAGAAGTGCTGGAAGTGCAGGTTATATGTGACTGCGCCATCCCGACCACAAGGGAACGGTGTTAACGAGTCGAGTCACCGTGGAATATCGAAGGCTTTGCATGGAGCGGATGTTCGGAGTGGTTCGGAGTTGCGCGAGGCTGTGAGTTCTGCTGTGCTTGCGCACAACAACATCCCTCACCCAGCGACAGGGCTAGCACCAGTGATGGCGTTGATAGGAGCTGACGCGAGGTACTCAGGTGAGTTGCCTTTAATGCGGCCGGAGGCTGTGAGAGTGGACGCACTTCTGGAGTTGCGTTTCCCGACGATGTTGAAATACGT